CCAAGGACCCCGCGTCGCTGCCGCCCGGCGACGCGCACCTCATCGCGCTCATCGTGGAGCAGCTCAAGAGCCGCGGCCTGTTCGACGGCTTCCGCCGGGACTGCCTGGCCGACGTGGACACCAAGGTAGCGGGGCCCTCGGGGGTGACGTTAGGGCCGCCCCCCCGCCCTCAGGGGTGACGTCCGGGCTCCTGCCGAGAGCCACTTGCTGCCCTTCCCCAGCCCGGCTTGCTCCCTGGGGAAGGCGGCAGCCTGGCCCTGCCTGCATAGCCCAGAGACGGGCCGTGGGGGGTGCCCGTGGGCCTGGCCCTGGGCAGGAGCCCGGGCTTGCCCCATGACAGAGGCAGGCAGAACACAGACAGCGAAAGAAAGCTCTTTTCAAGCCACTTATCCTTAAAGCGTGGTGCTCACGGCCACCAGTGGTCGTGGGAATTGGCAGTTTGGCCAGATTAAACATGGGATTGGGCATGGAGGAAAGGGGCATCAGTGCTGTTTGAGCAGGGGAGTGAGGGGCACAGCCCCTGCATCAGAACTGTCCCCACCTGAAATGCTGGCGGCTGCAAGTGAGAGAGGAACAGTGGAGAAAACCCAGCTCGGTCTCCCCTTCTCTGCCCATGTAACAGGAGACTGGGCAAGACAGGCCTCTGGTCTGCCCCAGTCAATGCCAATTCTTCTGTTCTTATGACCTGTAAAGAAGAGGAGAATTCATAGCAGCTAACTAAAGCTTGCTTAAATGTCTCATGTGCTTTTGTTTGTGATGTGAATGCTAAAAACATCTGCTGCTCTAAGCTAATGGCAGCAGTGGCTGGTCAGGACTCCAGGGGCTTCTGGTCAGTAGGAAACTCATTCAAATGCCTTGTGCTAACAAGCAGTTTGCGTTCCATGTAGTGAGACTCAGAAAAGGCCATAATTACAAAACAACTGTAGCCAGCAAGTACTGTTATAATAGTACCTCTACATACTGCTCTTTTGTGTTCTCAGGTAAAAAACAAAGTTTACCTTTGTTCGGGAAAAAAAGGGTGAAATAATGAAGAATACAGACAAATGACATAATAGTATGGATCAGTTTTAACATATTTTGGTTATTTGATTGGGCTGTTTTTATTTAGCCAGCTTACCAGAATTTGAGACAGAAAGTGGACAATTTTGTATCTACGCATCTGGACAAACAGGAATGGAATCCAGCAATGAACAAGAACCAGTTACGAAATGGACTAAGACAGAGTGTGATTCAGTAAGTAACCTGCATTCTGGAAACTAATAGCAATGATAGCTATCATCACCATCCCAACCAGGTGGTAGTTTGCATAGTTAGGCATTGAATTCTCTGATGCTTTCTTTTTTTCTGGGTCTTTCTGCATTGCACATTAGAAGTGCTCACAGGGCAACCTGTCAGATGGCAATGAATCTGCAAATTCTGCTAAACACTTTGTCACAAGGACATGAAAAGGAAAGGGCTGCAGTAACGGAATGCAGTCTCACCTCATACAGTGCAGCAACACTCCTCAATGAGAAAAGAGTTGTTTCTCTACAACAAGTCAGTCTATCCAAGCATCCATTTAAGTGCAACTTGCTATTATCTAGTACTGCTTTGGCTGCAAGTAGCCAACACCAAGACTGGCCACTAACCTGTGGTCTGATTTCAGACATAGAAATCCCCTAGGGTCTTTTGCTTCATTCATATGGCCTTTAGACCTCCAACCACTAGCAGGCATTGGTCAAAAAGTTAGCTAGTCCAGTTTCCTCCAGCAGAGGGTGGTAGATTATTCAGGATGTTACATTTCCATCAGAATAGGAAAGCAAAAGAGACAGTACTGTTTTAAGTAGTCAGACCTTGGCCAACAGGTCTTGGCCAGCATACCAGTGGCTGCAAAAGCCCCAGTCTAGGTACGACTGTGCCAACACAAGAAAACTCCTACTGGTCTACCAACATAGGGGGAGCAGAAAAATAATCTTTTCTGTCAGCATATGCCATGTCTCTGGAAAGGGATTCTGCTAATGCAGCTGTACCAGTGTTGCTATAGCAGCAGCTTCATTATAGAGACAAGCTCTTGCCAGTTTAATCTGAAGTTCTAAAGATCTGAAGTTTATCTAAAAACTTCTCCAGTTTAATTTGAAGTTCCACCTGTCATGCAAACTTAGAGCAAATTCCAGTCTTTCAAAGGCCCCAGTGGAGTTTCTGGAAATGCGGAGTTTAAAAGCTTCCATTTTTAAGTTTCTCCTGAGACAGTGGGGAGGGTGGAAGGGAGAAAATGGTCTCAAGTTGCAGAAAGAAAAGTTTAGGTTGGACATTAGAGGGAAAAAACTCTCTCACTAGGAGGGTAGTAAAACACTGGAATGGTGGTGGAATTGCCATCCTTAGAGGTTTTTAAGATCTGGCTAGACAAAGCCTTGGCTTGGATGATCTAGTTAGGGATGATCCTGCTTTGAGAAGGGTTGGACTACATGGCCTCCTGAGGTTCCTTCCAACCCTAATTTTCTATGATTCTAAATTAAAAGGTGGAATGGAAACAGATGGCCCCTAACCATTTTCCTGCTGCCTTTATTCCTGCTCTTCAGAAGTTAAACAGAATTAGACATCAGTATCTTACACCCAAAGCTAGAGCTTTAGAAACAGCAGAAGTTTTTGCCACGTGGCTCATCTACAACCTACTCAGTGTAGAATTGTTACCGTCGCCAGTTAGCCTGAAATGGGACGGGGGGTGGAGAGAGTCAGTTCATTAAATGCAGTAACTTTTTCATATGAGCAGTTTCAAATCAAGTGCCAAATAAGGACAACATTCATTGGTCCTGGCAATCAGTTTGAAAGTACTCAAGTTCTCTTATCCCATTAATAGTTAACAATGAACTGGCCCTTTGACGATACACTCTTTCAGTAGGAATTGGCCAGACCTGAAGGGTTTGGAGTATCCCTCTCAGTTCCTAGGAAGGCAGCAAGGATAAAGTGGAGCTCCTGTTCCAAGACACGTGCATATGTAGCCAGCTTTTGTAGGGGGCAGGCTTAGCTAACTGTATTCAACCGTGACACAGTGTCCATGGCCTTAAATGGCAGTGTACGTGGTCAGTCTCACGGCCGTACAAGTCTTTCGGCTGCTTTCCCAGATGCCAGGCAGTGTCTCAGCTTCCTCTCCCCTGGTCTCTTGCAGACATGACTTAAGCCTGCCAGGCTGCCTGGGCTCCTACAATCCAAGAATGTGACGTAGCCCCTGAAGCAATAAGTCACTTCAGTTCCAGAAACTCGTTATAGTTTGTGCCACACACATTGGTTTTCTTCTTTTACTACCAATGTCTAGACTAGCTGCTGTCAGGAATACATGACAGTAAAACGACTGGGGTGAAGGCCTCTTCTCCCTTCCACGAGTCAGCCCAAAACACCTCAGTACTCGCACCTGCTCTGCTCAAAACGGTGGTTTCCCTTGTTTGTGCCAGAGCTTGTTTTGCTTTCATGCTGACCTCATTTCAGCAGGAGCACTACTGGAGTGGCTCTTAGCCAATGGTATTTCAGAGTCTGGGAGACCAAATGTCAGTTGTGATTTCTGCAGGAATGGTGGGGGTAAACACGGGGGTGGGGTGAGACTAGGTGAGAAGTGTTCTGGTTTCTGTGTGGTACAGGGAAGGCCTCCTTTGTGAAGGAGCTGTGAGTGGGCTGCAGTTCTCAGCATGTTCATACTAATTGCTGCTGACATGAGGGCCCTGGAGAATTCCTGAAAGAGGTTGGGGAGAGTTTTTTCAGAGGAGCTGAATGACTCCTTTGTCTTTGTCCAAGGTCGGGGATGCTGGAAGCTGGAGTGGACAGAATTATTTCTCAGGTGGTGGATCCAAAACTAAACCACATCTTCAGGCCACAGATAGAGAAGGCAATTCATGAGTTCCTGGCTGCACAGAAGAAAGAGGAAACTGTGCCAGCTCCTCCTCCAGAGCCAGAGAATAAGGATCCTCCTGCTCCATCCCAAGATGCTTCCTAAGGTCTTGTATCACTGCATCCTGTCACTGCAGTAGTTTGCATAGCTCAAAATTGGAAGATTTGTTTTCTACTTTGCTTTATAGAAGATACCTTAAATCACCAGCATTTTGCTAGTATAGGACATTTGAGCTTCTCCCAGTTGAGGGCTTACAAAAAAGACCATGTATGGGAATTAAACACCTCAAGATGAAGCACGAGTTGCCTAGAGCTAGGAAGAATCTGCACAGTGTTTCCAGTCCTGGGGCTGGCTTTGGAGCAGTGACCCAAAAGGCCTTAGATACAGGTATTGGCTAGTGAACAGGGACCTACAGAGCTTTAAAGACCATTTTGATTCATCCTTCAAATAAATTTGGGGATTTCAGGCCTGAAGTCAGAGGGGCTCCTTCAGTTAGGTTTAGTTATAAGATGGTCATTAGTGCTGGCAGAATTCTTATCGTAGGGGGAGGCTGTAATATCCTCTAGGTGAAAAGCTGCTTCATTCCAAACTGTGACAAGCTTAAACCTGCCTCTGATGTTCCAGCTGAAGGACTGAGCCTAATTTTTGAAATTTAAAACAAAATTTGAGGATTTTCTTTTCCCCCAAGGCTATGTAGAACTTGTATGTTAAAACAGAGATAGTAATGGACTCCACCTCTAGAGGCTCTGCATGTTTAATATTTGACTATTCAGGCCTTTGGAACACTTATGGCTTGTTGCAAAGTTTCAAATCTGAACTTGTAAATAGACAGATTAAGATTCCTTCCAACTACAGCATTTGCCTACTGTATATTGGTCTCTAATGTTTCTAAAGTTTGAATACGAGTTCTACCTCTAGAACAAAAATCCACGCAACATCAATATGTTGTTTGCTCAAGATGAGAACAACAGAACCTAGCACAATCAATCACAACTTTTTGCTAGCAAATTGAGAGTCCTTTACATCCATACTGGGTAACAAACTGCTTAGAGAGAGAGGCTGTGAATAACATTTAATTCAGGTTCATAAGTAATTCACAGTTAAATGAAGCTGTACAACATGTTATATTACCTATTCAAATGCATTTACTTTGAAAGATACAATCTTGTAATTTTTCTCTTGCAGAGTGTTCCTGGTACTGAACAGCTTGCAATTACAAAATACACCATTTGGTAGACTGGCAGTGGATTTAGTCCATCTCTCACAGGGCTGTTGTCTGCCAGTGAAGAGGAACTTTCTTCAGACCTGACGGAAGTATCAGTAAAACTCATGGGCATCCAGAGTCCCGAGTATGGAAGTACAGTCTACATATGGGACTGTTTTATTAGAATAGACAGCAGCATGCGTGCTTGTGACCATGCTGGGGTGGGGGGGTTCTCTTGTTTGAAGGGGCTAGGAAAGGGGAATGGATGGGATACCGCAGTTTGACAGAGTATGATGGAAAGTTTTTCAGTTACATAAAGGCTTTAGAGCTCATTCTGTATGGTTCTTGGAAGGTCATTATGGGACTTTGATTTGGGCCAGGTAAGAGCTTCACGCTCACTTGCTACATAATGCAGTATCGAGAATTGGATGGAAAGATAAAGCGACTAATCAGTGCCTGTTTTAGAAAGGACATTCCTGGCTTTAAGCTGTAAAGAATGCTTTTAGAGAGTCAGCCATCTGAGGTTTAGATAGAGACCAACTTCTGACATGCTGTAGGAGGGGTTTACAGTTTGCTATGTGAACAATAGCCAACTTAGCCAGTGCTCTTCTTCCCTCAGGGACTGTAGAGAGAAGCAAGGGGTATCAGTGGGTGAAGAATCTGAAATCTATAGTTCTCCCAACAAAATTCTTCAGGTATCTTTTTAGAAGTTGCTCATATGCATGGGGAGAGCCAAGTAGAGTGCAGCTAGTGTTTGGAGTGTCTTTTTCAAATAAAAGAGTTGAGGGAAAAACAGCAGCTAACTTGGACTCCTTGATTTTTTTTTTTTTCCTTGGGAACATGATTAAAGTTATGAATAAAGGTCTTAAGATCTATGGTTCTTGATACCATGTTTAGATTATGCTCCTTATAGTTGTCCCCGCATTTACAGCTTTATTAGAATCTAGCATGCAACAGGATATGCTCCATTAGAACACCTCAAGTCCCCTCTCAAAGAAAGCCAAAAAGTCTCCCAGGAATCTTAATCTCTTGCTTCACTGAATTGCATGTCCTCTTCAGGGTTTCTGAACAAAGTCCACCAAAACAGGAGACTGAAATTATTCCATTTTCTAAATAGTGTTGTCATAAGTTAAACAAAGAATGTCACCATCTTTTTAGCAGGAGATTGAACCATTGCACCTACTACAAATATTGCATTTACTCAAATATATGATGACCCTGATTATAAGATGTTCTGTCTCCCCCAATGATTAGATTATATACATGGAAATAATTTTCCAGATATACAATCTAATTATTGGAGGTTTGCCTTCAATTTGTCCCGTTCTCACTGGTACAGCAGGGAAAATAAGTCTGGGGGTCAGGTAGCCCCCCTGCCCTCTCCTCCCCCCCACCCCAACTTTTCCCCTACTGTCCCTGAGCACATGATAGTAAGAAACAAAATTGGGGAGGGGGGAGAGACAGAGAAAGAAAAATGTACCTGATCAAATTTTGATACAGGGAAATTTCTACAGGTGCTCATAGATGTAATTCACCTAGAATTGATGCAGTTTACCTATTTTGAAACTGCTTTAGCTTTTAGCCCAGGCACTCCATAAACACACTTTTAAGCAGCACTTCTGTACCTGCTTGTATATAGTACAGACTTTTTATATTTATATATTTTTGTGGTCCAGGACAAATCAGGCAACTTGGTTCCAAATCATATCAATTGAGCAGAATTCAAGTGTTCCAAAAACTATGTTGATTGAACAGGCAGAACTCAGTCATTCTAAACACCGTGTATGGTGCTACAACTGGTGATTTTTTTTTTTAAATTAATTTGTATTCAAGGCCAAATTAGCCAAAACTAACTCCAAATCCAAGAGTCCAGAACCATAAGTGGCCCTACTACTGGCAAATATTGCCCACCCACACCTGGGGCTTCAGATGTTTCCAAATCCTTTGGCAGCCATCCTACTTGCAGGCCCAAGCCCAGAGGCTTGGGGTTCAGATGCCCCTGAGTTTTGCTTGCCTTTAGCCATAAGACCCTCAGAGCAAGCAAGGGAGGAGCCTCCCATTTCCATAAACTGGGTTTAAAGCTGCTATACCTCAGCAGGTACTAAGCCATGCCAGAAGAGCGGTTCTCCTGCGAAGCAGTTCAAGAAAACTGCTTTCTTGAGCACAGATGCATGTAATTTCCCCTGCCAGGTTAAGAAGCCTCTACACTTGATCTGATCCTTCAAGAGGCTGGCCAAAAAAACTGGTGACAATGCACAACACTAGTCCAAAGCTAAAAGGCTTATGGATTTACCATGGAAAAAAGTGTAGGTCTACTGTTCTGTAGTTTTGCTGTATCAAACTGGACAGTTTCTGAATTACTGAAAGCAGACTCCATCCAGGGCTCCTGTGAGCTAAAAGAGTCCACCAGAAAAGAAGGGACTTAGTTCTCCCAGCCAATGTAATCTTTTGTCTGTACCCTCTTACAGAAAGAGGAGGCAGCATAACGTGCTGTAAACAGTACCCCAGCAACTTTCACTTGCTGCTGTACTCAGGCCCTTCCAGCCACCAAGCGCATCCTCTCTCACCCTGTGAGCGGTCAGCTGGAAGGTTTCCAGACCAAGAGCATCACATGCATCCTTAATGCTTTCTTTATGAGGAGGTGGGGGTGAGTTACTGTAGTACATTGTTGCAGCTCCACCTGGGTTCTCACCACAGCTGCTGTAAACAGGATCAAGTGATTTAAGGGAGTTAGCAAGCCAGCTTCTCCCGGTCTGTAGCAGGAGAATGCAGACAGATGTTATGAATGCTTTTGTATTGGGGAGCTCTCAAAGTGCAGGAGAATCCAACTATAGCTTTTGCCAGGAGACCTAGGAGTAGCACAGTTTTAGGCACGTATCCAACTGAGAGCTTGGAGCCAGCTGCTAGCTGTGGAAACGGCATCATGATCTAAACAGGTTTGAAGTAGCTGAGACTACATCCTTCGTTGCAGGGGTGGAAGGGGAAGGGGAAAACAGGCAGGATTAGAGAAAAGGGACAGGAGCACATTAGCCTGAGTTTAACTCTGCAAAATTGGCATAAAGCTCTTGTTTACAATATACTTGCAAGCTTGGTTTTCCCCCAAAACTGTTACAGCACTCTATAGAATGCATTGAGTGGGACCAAACCAGTTGGCACAATATGTTCCAAGACTATAAATTCTCCCTTTGAAGAAATCAGGACTGACACTCATAGGGCAAAAGAAATATCATAATGTTCAATAAGAACAAGTGCAAAGTTTTGCACTTAGGGTGGAACAATCCCATGCACCAGTACAACCTGGGGGCTGACTGGCTGGGCAGCAGCTCTGCAGAAAAGGACCTGGGGGTTACAGTGGACAAGAAGCTGAATATGAGCTAGCAGTGTGCCCTTGTTGCCAAGAAGGCTAACAGCATACTGGGCTGCATTGATAGCTGCATTGCCAGTAAGTCAGGGGAAGTAATTATTCCCCTCTCTTCAGCACTGGTGAGGCCACATCTGGAGTACTGTGTTCAGTGTTGGGCATCCCACTACAGAAAAGATGTGGACAAATTGGAGAGAGTCCAGTGGAGGGCAAGAGAAATGGTGAAGGGGCTGAGACACACGACTTATGAGGAAAGGCTAAGGGAACTGGGCTTATCGAGTCTAGAGAAGAGGAGACAGAGGGGACTTAATAGCAGCCTTCAACTACCTGACGGGGTTTGAAGAAGGATGGAGCTGGACTGTTCTCAGTGGTGGGAGATGACAGAACAAGGAGCAGTAGTCTCAAGTTGCAGCAAGGGAAGTTTAGGTTAGATATTAGGAAGAATTTTCAGACTAGGAGGGTAGTAAACCACTGGAACAGGTTACCGAGAGGTGGTGGAAGCTCCATCCTTGGAGGTTTTCAAAACCCAGCTAGACAAAGCTTTGGTTGGGATGATCTACTTGGGGATGGTCCTGTTCTGAGCAGGGGGTTGGACTAGATGACCTCCTGAGGTCCCTTCCTATCCTAACTTTCTATGTCTCTGTATCCAAGAGCCATGCAGTTGCAGGCTTGATGTACAAGTTACTGGGTGAACCTGCACCACCTGGGGTGATGACGAACAATAGTAATAAGCTGATGGAGAATAGGTTTAGGTTAGAGATAAGGCGGCAATATTTTACAGTTAGGGTGGCCAATATCTGGAACCAACTTCCCAGGAAAGTGGTCCTTGCCCCTACCTTGGGCAAATTCAAGAGGAGGTTGGATGATCACCTGTCTGGGGTCTTGTGAACCCAGCATTCATTCCTGCCTGTGCCAGGGGGTCAGGCTAGATGATCTTTTCAGGTCCTTCCTGACCCTAGCTACTATGAAACTATAAGTGCCAGTGCCTCTTCTGTACAGAAGCAAGATTAGATAATTGGTCTGTCCTTATTCTGTGAACAGTTTCATCAGTCTGTACAGTGCAGACAGGACTGGCATGACAGTCTGACAAAACGCTACATCATGCTGATAGCAACGAGGGAGCAACTGGATCATCCTTGTATCACAGGGATATTCCTTGGGGTATGTAGGATTTGCCCTCAACATAAGCCAGCTGTGCTGCAAGCCATGGGTGAAACACACAAGCCTCTCAAACCCAAACCACAAATTCAAGTCACCCCCAGCAGCACTCTTCAGCCAGGTCTGCAGGCACCTTGATGGGAGGACACAAAGTTCCTATTTCATACCGCTCTCATGACACATACAGCTCAATGAGGAAAAATAGCTATGTGCTATGGTACGCTTAGTCAGACCCAAACCACTTGAGGTCAGAATTGTCCAGGATGTAAAGCCAAATGCACCTTTAAGACTTCAGTCGAAGTCAGCCATACAACATACCACAGTAGCTCAAGGGCAGCACTTTTGTTAAGACCTTTCCAGGCACTCTTGTGCAACCTGTGCTAGGCAGAGAGGCCCAGTGCTAGTCTGAGCACACATCCCTCACAAGTTACAAGTGGGGTATCAAAGCTTATGGTTACATTCAGTAGAAAACTGGATGTAGTCCTATGCATCAACTGAACACAGAAGGTATGTAAAACAATTACTGTTACTCTACTCTGTGTACTTCCTATTCTATCAAGAACAGCAGAAGGTACTAAATTAGTAAAAGCAGAATCTATCCATATCACATGGGCAGCAACTGGAGGAGCCTCCCCTTCTGCAGAATGATGATTCAAGTCTGATCTGGAAGGAGCTGCGTATGGACAAAAAAGGTAAGTGAGCAGTCCTAAGGCTGCAAAGATCTGAGCACCTGCCACTTTGAAAAATTCTTGGAGGCAGTTGTATGAAGCTTGGGTGAACAGAACTGTGCCCGTTTTAACTAGATCAATCCTAAAAGGGATTCAGTTCAACTAGTGCAGTCTCCCTCCAGACCCATAAGTGTAGCATTTCACTGGTGCCCAATGAACTGATTTAAAAAGGAAGAGTTCATGCTAGGGTGGTTGTGCTGACTTAATGGATGCTCTTAAAATAATCTGGAAAAAAAAACCCTTGTTTGTTTAGCACTTAAAGGTTTAGTTCAGCTTTACTATTATAGAAGGGAAAAACAAAACAGGGCAAGCAATTATTTTATGCACCTTGCATGTAACAGGTTAGGCAGGCAGGCCATTGAGAGTGATAAGTCATGTCCCCAACAGACTTAGAAAAGTTAATAAGTTCCCCATCATCATAGTACAGAGAGTTATAGGGATTAATGCCCTTTGATTTAAGCATTTGTCCTTGGCAACTGTTGGAGACAGGATTCCAGTCTCGATAGGTCAGCGGTATGCTCTGGTGTGGTAATCCTTAAGTTAACTTAAGCCCTGTGGAAAGACAGGAGGGAGCTCTTTCCATCCTTAAGAGACAAGGACTAATTAGCACATCCCATT